CCTCGTTTTCTGTGTGTTTCTGCTTAAAGGCACCTTATTTAGTCTACACTGCTGATTCGTTAACATTGAATTCATGGCCAATAGTACTGTAAGTCATGCCTGAACAAAACTTATCTAACATACGTATTTCTCTTTAAGACACATCACGGCTTTCTTGCGTGTAGGAATACTAGACAGCACTTCAGCACTATATTTGGGAGCCATATAGTGAAATTACCAATAAAGCACAAAAATTCAACAAAACATGGTACTGCACATACACAAAAAAGAACCTTGTTTACAGTATGAGTTGAAACGATAAGGCAGAGCACTGCCTTGCTGAACCTCAGTTGGGAACGTTCTGGTTGGCCCACTCAAATTTTTCACCATTTTGGACATGCACATGTCTCGGATGACTGAAAAAGTGCCATAAGTATTGATTTTGGTGACAAATTTTAGTGAGTAGGAGAATTCACAGCTATAGAATCTATGAATAATGAAGATGAACTACGCATTTTATTTTCCTCTCGTGGAAATGTTTGGCCTATGTAGAATGGAGAGGCAGTTTTCTATGAGGTTATGCAGGACCCAGATTCCTTCCATCTTGTTGCTCTGCCATCCTCTAGGGTACTGCATTCTTCTCCATGGTTAAAAGTTACCTTCCCAGGACACCTAGGTTCACCCGCCCCCCCCCCCCCCGCCCCCGCAGAAGGGGAAAGGAAAGTCCAAAACAAAGCAGTTAAAAAAACTTGTACACATCATCGGCAAAAATTAAGTCATTTGATCACACCTATCTCCAATGAAGTGTGGAAACTGTCTCTGGCTAGGTGGCATGCACCCAGAAGAAAGAGAGATTGGACTTTGGGTAAATAACTGGCAGTTTACAAAGAATAATTAAGAAACCAGAGGTATGTTGCTATTCCTGAAACATACCAATGTGTGCTCCCACCAGTGTTATCTAGGAGTGTTTGTTTCCTCGAACATTCAGTAGCATAGTATGTATTTTTTCTTTATGCCATATGAGGCACAAAAATGGTTTTGAGTTGCCCAGGATTAGGCTTAGAGGCAGAGGATGGCTTGGCCCAGACTTTTAGGTTTATATCACTTCTCCCCACAACCCACCCCTGACAGATATTTCTCGAATGACATCATCATTTACCTCAAGCTAATATCTCCTAGGTAGGCTTCCCAGATAACAGACCTACACTCACCTTTCATCTTCCTAGTCTTTTACATGTAGAAATCTAATTTTTGTTGTTGTTGTTGTTTTCTAATGGTTTTGTGGTGTAATCCTAATTCTAACTTGTGGAAGGCTGGTTATATGTCAGGGTATCTCCGCTCCCTGACCCTTTCCTTACCACCAGAGTCCAGGGCATTTCGAATGGCATCAAAAATTGTTTATTTATTGTTTAATTAAGTTAATTGACTTAAAATTTACTCTCTTTTAAGAGAAGGAGAGGTAATATTTATTTGGTACCTATTATATACCAAGTATTGTATGGTGCTGGGTAGTATCCAATATGTCACATAATTTATTCATGATAACTCTGGAAGTTAGACATTATTCTTCTCTTAAGAAGAGAAAAGAGAAACATGGAGAGATTTCTCAAAGTCACCTAGAGTTAAATGGCAGACAGGACTAATATTCAAACTAGCCATGTCTGACTCCAAAACCAGTGCTTGCCCACAGTGCAGAACTGCCTCCCAGGGTCAGGGCTTGAAGGAGGCAAATGAGAGGAGTGAGCCTAGGATGCAAAATGGAAGGGAGTACCAATGAACTCAGTAATCAAGATATTTTAATGCAATATTTTAAAAATCAAACTTAATGCAAAACAATCCATAATGAACAAAAATTGAATTTTGAAATAAAGTTGGGCCATGGCTGGTGTAACTCAGTGGATTGAATGCCAGCCTGCAAACCAACGGGTCGCCAGTTCGATTCCCAGTCAGGGAACATACCTGGGTTGTGGGCCAGGTTCCCAGATGGGGTCATGCAAGAGGCAACCACACAATGATGTTTCTATCCCTCTCTTTCTCCCTCTCTTCTTCTCTCTCTAAAAATAAATAAATAAAATCTAGAAAAAAGAAAGAAAGAATCATTATTACCGATTTTCCTTTTGTCTCAAGTTCCTATATAGTTCCACAGCATTGTTACTGATCCTGCTTTTATTTAAGATCATAAGCTGAGTCATTGAATGAAAGTGCTGTTTTAGGATTCATATGTTGCTAGTGTGGAGGGAAAACTTAAAAAGAAGGAGACTTTAAGGCTGGAAAGATTTTGCCTAGTCAAGATGAGTTAAGAAAAGCAAAGTCAGTATGGAATGCATGGGTGTAATTCCACTTTTCTCTGTCAGCTCTCTGCGAAATAACTTGGAAAGTACAATCAAAACAAGATGGTCTTACATTTTAAATAAATTCTCTATCTTCCATAGACTGAGTTACAGATGCTTGCTACTTCTGATGCCCAGCTCCGACCATTAACCCCGGTGTGGCCACCAACTTTCCCTTCACTCCTCATGGCACCTGCAGGGGAAAATTCCTGTGTGTCCCGTGTACATCCTTGTTATTTTAGAGATTTTGATCCTGCAGCTTTCTCCTTCTAGCTTACCCTTCCAAATCTTTCTAGATGCTCCAGATACAGAAGGCTTCTCTATTTTCCTGGTCGTTTTGGTTGTCTTTCTCTAGGTCTTTTCTAACTCCATGATTTTTCTGGGGTTATAACATGTCGTACTACATATAGCACTTGTTGATTTTCATTCTATCATCTGTATTAAAAGCTATGTATAGGTTTCTACAATGCTAGTAGTATGCCTTAGGGCCCTCAGGTTCAACCAAGGCCAACTCCCCTCAGTGTACCTATCAGAGACACTGGGACTTACCCAAAGTCACTCTGAATGCTGATGGTAGGATCTGTCCTTTTCCCTTCCACTGCAAGTGGTTGGCTCCTCTTAGTCCATATTTTGTTCCTGAGACAGAGTCCTGGTATAGCTCTTCTTAAAGAGTAAAGGACCAGAGAGGCAGCAACCTACTCAGTGTACTTGGCTTAGTAAGTTTGGTCTCCCTCTTCCATAGAGGTAAGTAAGTTTGGTCTCCCTCTTCCATAGAGGTAAGCTTCCTGGGTCAAAGGGCACACAGGAAGGAACTGGAAGTTGTCTTTTGTGTGGAGAGGTACAACAGTGATTCTAAACATTGCTCTTTCATTTCCAATACCCTTTTCTGATGACACCCAAACTTTGCTCTTTTTTCTAGAAAGTATACATTGGTCCCTATATTGAGGGAATGATCTCCAGCTACTCTGAGCTTCCTTCCTTTGGCCAATGAATTTTATCTAATGGTCAGTTACTCAAATGAGACCTCATACTCCTGGCCTGAAATTGTGCGAGATCTGAATGTTTGTTGCTGATTGTATGAATTCAAGAATGTACAGAATTGGTAAAAGATAGTTTGTTTACATTTCCTAGAGGCTGGTCAGAGAGGAGAAAGTTCAAGAAATATTAGGTATCTGTAAGATTGTTGCATTGGCCATGATTTTAAAGGAGAGGAAGTGAGAGGAACAGAAGGTCAACAAAATATAAAAACCCTATACTGGGCAGTGACTTAAATGTCTCATGGGTTCAGGCCTGCAATACGAAGGAAGTCAATCGATAAGATGTGCAGGAGCCACGGACAACACCAGAAAATATGCCTAATCTAAGGGGCAGCCAATATTCAGTGTTAGCCAATTGTTGCCACGTGGGTCCAATGTCACGAGATCTGATTTTTCAAGACAATTCAGAAACCTGGTTTCTTCTATGAAATTACCTAATTGTTTAATGCTGACAACAAATCCAACTTGGGAGGGAGGGAGAAAGAGAAGAAAAATGAAAGGGAGCCAACCACACGCAGGCCAAAGAGAACACTGATAGGGCCCAGGGTTTGCCAGTTTTGGCTCCTGACTTATGCAGACTTCTCTCTCATCCTCGCAGACAAGTCAAGAGGTAAGTTTAGTAACTTACTTCAAAGTGTACTCAGAACTTGATCAAATGCATTCAGAATTTTCATCTCACTGACAGTTCTTTAAAACTATCCATACAGTTTATTGAGCATTGAACATGAGCAAAGTCTCTCATTACATCTTATTTAAAATGAAATATGTTAAACAATTAATTATATGAAACAGAAATACAACTTCCATAATGGTCCAAACGACTCTGAGATACATACTTACAATTGAAGCTGTGTTTTTTGTTGTTGTTGTTGTTTTTTAATGATCAACTATGAAAAGTAGTTTTTAAACCTACTGGAGTACTCAACTTCCTTCTGCCATTCACTTCTGAATTGAGAAGGTTAATGGGAAAGTTTGTGAATACAAGGCATCACTCTCTACAAGTAGCAATTCTAGAAGAATTCAAGGGCAGTCATCCTGAAATCTTCCATCATTAGAGTTGATTTTGACCAGTGAGTGGCTTCTATCACTGTAGAGGTCATCTATGACACCTAGCAGCACTAAAGTTAATACTAATTTAGAAAGAAAACCAAAAACAGGTGGTAATCCTGTTGGCTGATGAGGTGAGAGGACCCTATACAGTTCAACTTGGCCCAGGCTATCAATTGTTTGATTACATTTTAATGTAAATATGCTAAACAATACAGATTGTATCAACTTCCCACAAGAGATTCATATCACTTTAGTAACTTTCTCCCATTATTTTTTTTCAATCTGTCTCTGTACCCACCTCTCTCCCCAGTGTACACTTTTACACATTTAAGGTATGCCTACTTCTGTTTTCACTATTTCTTCTGGCCTCAATCAGGATGGATACTCTTCAAAATTTTTAACTTCTTTGCCGTCTCAGAGGTTCCCCATATCCCTAACACTCTCACCTCAAGCCCCACTCCCTCCCCACCTCCATTCTAGAACCTGGGACTCCTTCTTACTCTCTGCTCGGCACCTCACCGCCTAAGGTGGTGCCCTTCGCTTCCCTTCCCCTAGCTGAGCACCACCTCCCCGACCCCCCACGTCCCTCCCCAGGTCGGCAACCTCAGCCGTTCCAGAAACTAACAAAGAAGTTGCAGAGGGAGTGCCACTTCTCCGCGCAGTACGTCTCCGTGAGCTTCGCGTTCACATCCAGCCCGTCGGGATCCGGCCTTGTGCCCAGGAGTCGCTCCTCGTCCGGGTCCGAGGCCGCTTTCCTCTTGCCCCCTTTAGTCTTCTTCTCAGAGGGCTTCCGTTTGGAGCGCGTGCTCGGAGGATGCGGGACCCTCGCGGCGGGGCCGATCGCTGGCTCTCGGGGCCGTCCCCGGCTCCTGGCTCGCGGCTTGGGATCCCGAGGGAAGCCCGCCGCAGTGGGGCCGGCGGGCGGGGACCCGCTGGGCACCAGGCGAAGCTCGGCGCCGCGGCCCTTCTTGCCCGAGCACAGGCGAGCTTTGAGCGGCGCGGGGTCCTGGCACGGCCGCCGCTTCCTGCGCAGCCCGCCCAGCACCTGCTTCCAGTAGTGAGAGCCGCGGGCGGCGTAGGCTGCGCAGCGCCCTGGCTCCCCGCGGTAGGCGCACTGGTGGCGCTCCCCGTCCGGGCCCTGGCAGCTCAGCGACAGCTCGCTGCCCGCCGCCGGCCCTGGGGCGGACAGCAGGAGCTGCCAGCTGCATGCTTGGTGCTCCGGGCTGATGAAGCGGCCCGAAGAGCCGCCCACGAGACCCGGGGCTGACTCTGCCGCACCTCCTGCCGCCCCCTCGTTCTTTCCCGAGGCCGCGACGAGGCAGCCACCCAGCAGCAACAGCTGCAGCAGCTGGAGCGACGCTCGCAGCCTCAGAGGATTCATGGTTCAGGTTGGCTCTTCTGGTACCCCTGGGTGTTTCCGTGGTGGCAGGGCCGGGACAGCAGCATCCCTCAGACCTGGGGACAGAGGCAGAGACTGCTACTGACCCAACCCTTGGCCCCAGCACACGAACCTGAGAATCCCCCTCCCCAGACTTTCTGGGCGCTGGTTTCCAGTGGACAACAGCAGCAACGCCACTGAAAAGTTCTCCTGGGAGAAAATCGCTTACTGTCTAAAACATCGTGTTTTAAAATCCCGTGGAAACACGAAGGCAGAGCAATGACTGATAATTACCACCTCCACACCCCCTCCCTTCTCCACCCTCCAATAAACTATCCCCCAGATAATTTCAGATTATTCCTCAGAAGCTTACCCAGTTCTATCAGAGGTGGCAGAGCCTTATTAGGGTAAAGGGAGGGACTGCAGGAGATTAGTCTGTTTTAGCCCATTCCCAGTGAATGGACGCATTATCAGTGGGACAGAAGGGGCCTCCCCCACTATGCCCCTCCCAGAATTCTTTCACACAGGGAGGTTTCCCACCGCCACCACACACACACACACACACACACACACACACACACAAGTATGATAGAAGTGGCATGAAATATATCTCTTGTAATTTAGCTTACAATGTTTAAAATAATCACGCAAATTTTAACAAGTAATTATTTTCTTTCCTTTAACATATTTAATCATCTAAACATAAAAGTTAAATAGAGAGATCTAAGTTTTAACAGTTAAACAAAATAAAATGGAACAAAACGATATTCTAAACGAGGCACTATTTACATTCTTTTTTATATCATTCTGAGGTCTATATTTTCACTCATCATTTCCAATAGATTTTCTTATCCCAATAACTTAATCTGAATAACTGTTACTCCTAATATACCATTGTGTCCAGCAGTTCACTCAGGGATGAACATTTAGGCTTTTGATTATTTTTAGGTACTGTAAATCAATTATAAACTTCTTACAAAAATAGAAGTTTTTAAAAAAAAATAATTTGAGTTACAGTTGCAAGATAATATTACTAATTCAAACGCTATAATCTTTAAGAATTGACATGTTCTTGAATCTTGAAATTTGTATATTTAAGTAAAGCTAAGATACACTACATCAAGATAGTCCATCATCTTTTAAAAATGTTCTCAGTAATAAATGTGATATTTTTAAATTTCAAGAGTTTATACTTCTTACTATAATTGTTTTATACCTGTGGCTATTTTCCTAAAATATTTCCCCAAGATGTCAAGGAATCATAACATCTTTCTGCAGACAGTATTTTCTATTGCTGAACTCCCATTGAAAGTGTTTTTGAACAGTTATAATTTGATTACTACTCTAAAAAACCAAAATATTTTAAATTAGAAAAATGTAGTTATGTATTAGCATTTATTAAATATGTAGTGGTGTATATTGACCTAAGAAAGGAAGTTTTTCCCATTCTGGTGAAATCAGAGAAATGAAATGACTTACCAAAGGCCACAAGTCATTCAGTGATAAAGCAACAACCCACCTTACTATCATATTTTTTTGTTTTTTATTTTATATTTTATGGATTATGCTATTACATTTGTCCCAATTTTTCTCCCTTCACCCCCTTTCACCCAGCAAACTCCACCCCCTCAGGCAATCCCCACACCATTGTTCATGTCCACAGGTCATGTGTATAAGTTCTTGGGCTACTCCTTTTCCTATACTGTACTTTACATCCTCATGGCTATTTTGTACCTACCTATTTGTACTTCTGAATCCCCTCACCTCTTCACCCATTCCTAAACACCCTCTTCCCATCTGGCATCCATTAAAACACTCTCCATATACATGATTCTGTCTGTCCTTCTTGTTTGCTTGGTTTGTTTTTTAGATTCAATTGTTTGATAAATATGTACTTATTGCCATTTTATTGTTCATAGTTTTGACTTTATTTTTTGATCTTTTGATAGTTTTTTATCTTTTTCTTAAATAAGTCCCTTTAATAGTTCATATAATAGTGGTTTGGTGATGATGAACTCCTTTAGTTTTCTTTTGTGTGGGAAGTTCTTCATCTACCCTTGGATTCTAAATGATATCTTTTCTGGGTAGAGTAATCTTGGCTGTAGGTCCCTGCTTTTCATGACTTTGAATATTTCTTGCCAGTCCCTTGTATCCAGCAGAGTTTCTTTTGAGAAATCAGCTGACAGTCTTATGAGAATTCCCCTGTAGGTAACTAACTGCTTTTTTCTTGCTGCTTTTAAGATTCTCTCTTTATCTTTAACCTTTGGCATTTTAATTAGGATGTGTCTTGGAGTGGGCCTCTTTGCATCCATCTTGTTTGGGAGTCTCTGTGCTTCCTGGACTTGCATGTCTATTTCCTTCACCAAATAAGGGAAGTTTTCTTTCATTATTTTTTCAAATAGATTTCCAATTTACTTCTCTTTCCCTTCTTCTGGCACCTCATGATGCAAATGTTGGAATACTGTCCCAGAGTCTGCTTAACTATCCTCGTTGTTGTTTTGGTTTTTTTTTTTTTTGGAGGGGAGGGCTCTATGGTTGTTTCCCCGTAAATTGTTCTTTACTTCGATTAGTGTATCCTTCATTTCTGACTGGATTTCTTTCATGCTGTTGAGGTTCTCACTAAGTTACTTGAGCATCCTTGTAACCAGTGTTTTGAATTCTGCATCTGATAGATTGCTTATCTCCCTTTTGTGTAGTTCTTTTTCTGTAGTTTTCATCTGTTCTTTTATTTGGGCCATGTTTCTTTGTCTGCTCATTTTGGCAGCCTCCCTGTGTTTGTTTCTATATATTAGGTAGAGCTTCTAATACTCCCTGTCTTAATAGCATGACCTACTATAGTAGATGTCCTGTAGGGTCCAGTGGCACAGCCTCCCCTATCACCCAAACTGGGTACCCACTCCTCTTGTAGTTGAGTATATCCTCTTCTTGTAATTGAGCCTTGGTTGCTGTTTGGCAGATCAATGGGAGGGATTTACCTGGGCCAGTCTGCTGCAAGTATTAGCTGTGATTGCTGACCACCAACCTCCACCCTCCATGGAGGATCAGCTGTGCAGGGGCAGGGTGGTAGTGCTTTGACATGGTCTGTAGCTGTCTATGGAGTGCACAACTCTGGGGTTCCCTGGGTGGGGCAGGTCAAGGTCAGGCCCCACCTGTATTTTGCCCAGGGCTACCCTGCCTGCACTATAAAGCAATATGAGATGGCTGCTACTTGTGCTGGGCTTGGAGATTTCCAGGCTAAGCCAAGCTGTGATCTAGGCTGGCTGCTGCTAGTGCCGTGCCTGGGACCACTTAGCAGGAGGTACAGGGACTGGGGGCTCACTGAGGCCAACTGTTGCTTGCTTGAGAGAATTTAGGAAGTTGTGAAACATGAGCCAAGACCAGCCATTAATATGGAAAGGTCACTGGGGTAGGCCTATAAGTTGGGTGGGACAGTTTCAGGGGATCTCCAGGATGGGGCAGTGTTATTCAGGTTGATGGAATATCAGATATGGAACCCACCTGCTGGTTCTGTGTCTGTGTGTGGGGAGGGTTCAGAAAAGGGACAATGGCCTCTGCATGCCTTTTTGTCTGGGAGAAAGCTGTCCCCCTGCACTCACCTTGATGCCAGACACTTCAATTCCTCCCTGTATGCCACTAGTGTCTTTTAAGCTGCCACCCCAGTGCTGGAGCTCAGAGACAGTGAGTCTAAGTACGTGTGTGAGTTCTTTAAGAGGAACTGCTTGGGACTCCAGAAGTTTCTTCCACTGACTCAATTCCTGCTGGTTTTTGCAGCTAGAAGTTATGGGGACTTATCTTTCTGGCACTGGAACCCTTGGCTGGGGTGCCTGATATGGGGCTGGGACTTCTTACTCCCAAGATACCCTTCCCAAATTTGTATCCACCACATGTGGATGTGGGATTAGCCCATTCTGCATCTACCAGTCTGGATAGATGTGGTTTCTTTAATTCCATTGTCAGACTTCCAGTAACTTGATTTCTGATGGTTTTGAGTGATGATTTCTCTATGTTTTAGTTGTAATTTTGATGTGCCACCTGACTTTCAACAATCAATGATTTTTACATTTCAGGTTTGTATTACTACAATCAATTTCAAAATTAGTTATGTCTAGGTTATAAAGGGACTAAATGGTAGTGGAAAAAGTACAATAAAGATTAATAGTAAGTAAATAAATAAATAAAAGTTAAAAAAACAATTTGATTTATAATAAAAAGCAGTTAGTACCCATAAAGTTAAAAAACATTCACATAAGTTTCATAAACAAGAGTAGCTTCTTGATACACTTCGACAGTGAAAAGCTCTGTCCCAGAAAACCAGACCTTCAGGAGTAAAGCACTGAGGAGTAGTTACAGGCTTTTGTTAGTTGCTCTGAAGTTTTATTGTTATCAGCTACTGAACCAAATTGGAATAGTTTCTCAGCTAAAGAGTGACATCTTGTGATATTCTGCACTAATTACAATGAAAAAGTTTATTACCTGAAGAATCATAATTACATATTCCAGACACCATGCTCTTTGTCAGAAACATTGTTCCCAGAGAAATAAGTAAGGGCACACAGATGTGCTACACTAGGTCAGAAAGGGGTAGCTTCTTCCTGCGAACCAGAAGTTACATTTTATAAAGTCTGGTAAAATATACGTAACATAAAATTGACCACTGTAGTCATTTTTAGCTGTACAGTTCATTAGCATTAAGTATATTCACATTATTGTGTGGCCATCATCATCATCCATCCCCAGAATGTGTTTCATCTTCCAAAACTGAAATTATACACATTAAACAATAACTCATTCCTCCTTTCCTCCACCTCCTGGCAACCATTATTCTACTTTCTGTCTCTAGGAGTTTGACTACTCTTGGTATTCCATATAGGTGGAACGACACAGTATTTGTCCTTTTGTGACTGGTTTATTTCACTTCACATAATGTCCTCAAGTTTCATCCCTGTTGTAGCATGTGTTGGGGTTTTTTCCTTTTTAAGACTGAACAGTATTCCATGAATGTA